GTAAATTAGTTAACATTAGAATAATCTTTTTAGATTGATTTATTAAATGTTTTGTTTAGTAAATGTCTTGTTTAGTGATTGTCTGGTAGAATTTGCATGAAAGCGGTCTCATAAATCATAAACTAGTTTATTTCGTTTTTAGAAATAGAAGTCAATGATGGATTAAAAACTTGTTCCTTAGTACGTCCCAAAAACAGCTGACTCAGGGTTGAAAACACTCATTTTTTTCCAAAAACTTTATAATTTAATATCTCCGAAACTATTTGACCTAGACATATAATTTTTTTTACATCATATTAAAGACAAATAGTACTTTCCAGGAACTTCGGGAGTGTCGGTCGTTCTGTTCCACCGAGTATAGTGTAATCTTACATCAACAAAACATTTAATTACTAAATTAAGTCATTGTGTTTTATGGTTCGCTAATTTTGAAGTACGCATCTTTATTAGTGTATAACTTTAATACTGCTATAGATATATATATATTGTCTATTATACATCTTTTTAAACCTTATACGGAGTAAATTTCTTATGACACTTTGCTTTCAAACACACATCAAAAACATATTTTGATGTATACATTTGACCACTCATATCTTTTATGTCTTTTAATTTATGAAACCATAATATGGCTATAGCACATAAATTGTATCTACATTCCTAACATTTCAGTTCCTTAACTAAGTTATTAACTACAAACCCAGAAATGTACCCTACTATTTGAAAAACAATAGCTGAAGAACATGAACCACTACACCAAGATTGTTTTCAAGCTTTTTGGTCAAAAAAATCTAAAAGTGATACTACTCCACATATTATGTGCTGTCTTAGAATAACAAATATTTGGCCTTCTGAATGACTGCCATGTTGGCGCGTGGCTGGGGTCAGAAACAAAACTCGGTATTTATTGAAAATACCGTGATTATTAATTATAGACATTGTAAAATCACATTTACAGTACGTAAATATGATATTGTAATAAATTCATTTTTATTCCGATAGTTATACATGATGTTTGGAAATACATGTATAATCCCGAAACATGGCCATACAACCTAGCACAAAGAACACAATTAATATGTGAAAAAACAATTTCAGGTAAATTGAGATTTTTATACAAATATAAGAACAATTTGTTTTCAATTAATATGCTACAACCCTGAAAGGACATTGCCGAAAATGGCCCCAATACCATTAAATATTAATACTTCAATAATAATATTACTAATTTATTTATTAAATTGGAATCAAATATTTATTTGACACGGACAAGCTGCGATCCAAAATTAATATTTAAAAGTACTTTGTTAGTAACATTTTTATTCGCAAATATTCACATTCAATATACTTAAATTCTATTGAGTCAGATGGATGTAATTTACACGTCAGATCAAGATCATTTATTTTTATTAGATAACCTTTTAATCATCGAACACAAAAACATTAAATTAAATTGACCGAAAAAAAACTTAAATTTACTAAAAGCGCCATCTCTTGGTGATTTTCCAACTAAAACATAAGGACATAAAAACTGAATATTATACAAACTAAATTCATTAACTGTTGATAATTCATTACCACCAGCCCTTTTACGTCCCCACTGCAGGGGCTCAGGCCTTCCTTATGGATGGTTAAGGAGGATGGGCCATTACCCTCCACGCTGGCCCAATGCGGATTGGAGGGTAAATACTTGTTTATTCAGAAAGATTGATATTCATACGACATATCCTAAAAACTACTTTGTTTCTATTACATTACCTTTATATTTCTCGTAAACATATTAATATCAAGTCATTTATGTATTTAAGGCGCCATCTTTTGATGAAAACCATCAAAAAGTTATAGGTTTTTTAATTTAAAAAATTATTTAGTTAGCTTATAACAATAGGTATATTATTTAACTATTAGAATGATTTATTTGTCTATTGATTGACTTAGAAACATTTTTCAAATCACAACGAAAAACTGACTTTCTTAAAGTTGAGTTTTTTTGCTCCGACAATATAGACATCAATATCATATCATGTACTTAGAGTGCCATCTCTTGGTGGTTTTCCAAACAAATTATAACCTCAAAATGAATTATATTTTGCGTGATAATAAGTTCTAAAACTTGGTCGCGGTATAATAAATATACAATGAGAATTAGTTAGTGACACAAATTAAAATAAGTATTTTCCTATATTTTTTTGGCTCTGGGGCCACCAATGTATAGACGTTGAGCAATGTCCTTTACACGTGCCATACCGGCGTACTCGATCTCTCTCTCTCTCTCACTCTCCCTCGATTCCTAGAATACACTTTGATGTCGCCGACGCACGCACTCGACTCTAGAGGCAGCACTCTAATCACTCTTTCAGCTCTCACTTGTCAACATTACCTACACTTCACCTCCACTTTATCAGACGAGGGTCTCGATATGCCTGCCACCGCATAAAACACACATCTCTATTCCACTCGACACAGACCGTGTTACTCTCGACGTAAAATCATATCCTCTGTCTCGATGGAACAGGTGTTCGGCCGGCCTTCTTGTGGCATACTATGGAATGAACCAGTTGTATGTAACCGATTCACAAGTGCCGCGAAGCACCGGTAAGAAGGAAGACGTCGAGGGTTTTCAGATATTCTGATCTTTCTGACACGTAGCGCTCGTCATAAAGCCGCCGAGCCACAGCAAGATTACCGTCACAAGCACCAACACACATTATCATCTCGTAATATTAGGCATTTAAGTACGAACTCATTGCACTGACCGCACACAAACACAACACACAGGTAAACAGAACGAGTTTGAAAAATAAACCAAAAGTCCCGTAAGAACGAAAACGTAAGTTGACCTTCTAAATTGTGGTTGTGTTTGGTAACCTGTATAATCCCGAATATGGCACATACGGTATGATGAATAGAACCCAGAAAAATGATCACTAAGTCTGAAACCCAGCACATGACCTAGATATTCAGCTTTTTTTCTTCGAAGTAAAACTGTACGCTGACAATCCTAAAAACAGCTGTTGTGTTGTATTTGGTCATCGACTCCATGTGCCGAACTAGTTTAAAAAATAACAGAAGTTAAATAAATCTAAAGATAAATGCCTAGAATAAATATGCATCCGAGAGTAACTTATTATTTCCAAACAAAGAAAAAGTTAGTAGTAAATGACTTTTAACCATAAAAAAACACTAATCTTGTGATTAACGGTGTTTCAAAAACTGTTATTAAGAAAACTTCTCTAATAATACAGTCAAAATAAAAAATAAATTGCAAATACTTTGATTGAAGTTCAATATCTGCACCATTGCTCACATTAGTCTATGCAAGAAGGAGCGACAGAGACATAAAAATGACGACGATGTGTATTGAAAAACTCGGGATTCTGATGTGTCAGTAAGGTTCTGTAGATTATTTGCTTTGAAGTTTTGTTATTTTTTTCATAAAGCCGTGTTATTTTCACGAAACAATAAAATACGGACTTATACAATGATATTAATAATCTAAGTATCTCGCTTATTCTTAGTTTAAATGATAATTAAATAAACGTTAGTTGTTATGGAAAGGTCTAATAATAAATAATATTTCTTTTCTTTTCTAATTTAATCAAAAATTTTTTTATGCTTATAATTTTGTTAATGACTTGGTCTTAAATTAGGTAACCACTTTTAATATTATGGCCTTTTTTTCTTTTGTAACCGTGAAAAACGTAAATAAAATTGTAATAATAAATAAATAGCCTCATTATCAATTTCGTCAGTAAAAAATAGTATGATAAGTTACTTTGAAATTTCATTGTTTAATTCAATAAAAAATAACGATTTTTTGTTAGGTAGGTTACGTAACACAGAATTTGATGACGCGGAACCCTAAATCGGTGCACTTTTGATTTAGGTACACTGGTGTTCGAGTTGCAATAATAATAACCTATGTAGTTTTGGTCATCGCGTCAGTCACGTCCGTGAGTTTCATCGGCGTACTTGTGAGTTTTCAGAATTTAGAAGGTCAACTTACGTTTTCGTTCTTTCGGGACTTTTGATTTGTTTTTCATTCTCGTTCTGTTTACCTGTGTGTTATGTTTGTGTGCGGTCAGTGCAATGAATTCGTACTCAAATGCCTAATATTACGAGATGATAATGTGTGGCGGTGCTTGTGGCGGTAATCTTGCTGCGGCTCGGCGGCGTTATGACGAGCGCCACGTGTCAGGAAGATCTGAAAACCATCGACGTCTTCCTTCTTACCGGTGATTCGCGGCACTTGTGAATTGGTTACATACAACTGGTTCATTCCATAGTGTGCCACAGGTAGGCCGGTCGAACACCTATTCCATCGAGACAGAGGATATGATTTTACGTCGAGAGTAACAATACACGGTCTGTGTCGAGTCGAATGGAGATGTGTGTTTTATGCGGTGGCCGGCATATCGAGACCCTGGACTGATAAAGTGGAGGTGAAGTGTAGGTAATGTTGCCAAGTGAAAGCTGAAAGAGTGATAAGAACGCTGTAGGTATGTACCTATTTAATCTTAAATTGTTTTAATTACAAGTAAACTCATACGTAGTCGAGTGCGCGCGTCGGCGACATCAAAATGTATTCTAGGAAACGAGAGAGTGAGAGGTAATGTGTGAGAGAGAGAGAGAGAAAGAGCGAGTGCGCCGGGACGGCACGTATAAGCTTACAGGGTTGTAGCATAGTAATTGAAAACAAATTGTTCAAATATTTGTATGAAAATATCAATTTACGTGAAATTGTTCTTTGATATATCAATTGTGTTCTTTGTGCTAGGTTGTATGGCCATGTTTCGGGATTATACAGGTATTACCAAACACGCTGTAGACAGATTATATACCAAACATAACGAGTCAGTACACGGACTGGCCGCCCAGATCTAGTTAAACACGGACGTAGTACTTCAGCACTTTGAAGTGAAGCGTTACGTCTTCAGCCATCTTTGAAACTCTGAACGGACATCAAGTTGTATTGTTTATCGAAGCATAGATGCCACAGATAATGTTTGAATGTTTTTACACTCCTTTTTTTATACTCGGCTTTTCTGTTCTGCTCTGTGTGCGTGATGTGATGAAACGTCAATAAGACGTCAAGCCAGTGGTGAAATCGTAAATGATTTTTTGGAATTATTTTTTTTTAATTGTTTTTTTTGTAAGTTTGAAATTTGTAACAGTTTTACGATGATAAGATATCGTGGAAAGAAAAAAGTGTTGGAAAAAGTGAAAGAATTGGACGCATTCCCCAAGGTGCGTGAAGAATACGTGGACAGCACGCCGGTCGGTGGCACTTTTTCTGTAATTGCTTTTTTTATTATTTTGTGGTTAATTTACAGTGAAGCTAGTTATTATCTTGATAGTAATTTAGTTTTCAAATTTATGCCCGACACGGATATGGATGAAAGACTCCAGATTAATATAGATATTACGATTGCGATGCCATGCTCAAATATCGGAGCTGATATATTGGATTCTACGTCACAGAGTGTTTTTGGTTTTGGGGAATTGCAAGAAGAGGATACGTGGTTCGAGTTATCCCAAGAACAACAAGATGCATTTGATGCAGTCAAGTATTTAAACTCATACCTGAGAGAAGAGTATCATTCAGTTTGGCAATTGCTTTGGAAAAAAGGCCATGGTTCTGTTCGTGCTACTATTCCAATTAGAAATAGCAAACCCAATAGAAGACCAGATGCTTGCAGGTTACATGGGGTTCTTATTCTGAATAAAGTTGCTGGCAATTTCCATATAACGGCTGGCAAAAGTCTACATCTTCCAAGAGGGCATATCCACTTAAATATGTTATTTGATGATACTCCTCAAAATTTCAGCCACAGAATACATAGGCTTAGCTTTGGTAGTCCAGCTAATGGTATAATATATCCACTTGAGGGTGATGAAAAAATTACAACTGATGAAAACATGTTATATCAATATTTTGTTGATGTTGTGCCTACAGATATAGATACAGCATTTGAATCTATCAAAACATTCCAATATTCAGTAAAAGAGTTAGAAAGGCCGATAAGCCATGCAAAAGGCTCACATGGTGTGCCCGGGGTATTTTTTAAATATGACATGGCTGCATTAAAAGTCAAAGTATTCCAGGAAAGAGAGCATTTTTTAAAATTTATGTTAAGACTGTTTTCAATAATTGGTGGAATTTATATTGTGATTGGTTTTATTAATACTATAGTTTTGTCTATAAAGGCACATCTAAATGAAAGTAGTCCTAAAACTTCAATAGCTAAATATTTTGTAGAGCCAAAAATAAAATTAGCACAATCTAATCCTTTGTTGATAACACCAGAATTAAATGTTCCTGTAGAATTAGTGAAACAATGATAGTAGATACTTTTTAGTTTTAAGTTTACCATAAGCTTCTATTGTATATAAGAGATTATGTATATTTATAATTCTTGAAAGTAATTGTAATTAATTTTGGTAATTTCTATAGTGTTAATCTGCTTTAGTTTTATACTGTCGCAAGAAATCCTAATAAGGATTTGACCCTTTGATCTTATTAGTAAGTTTTTTTTTAAATTTTGGATAATATGTAGCAACTGAATAAAACATATTAATTAAGAAAAATTATAAAATCATTGTATACTCAAAATCTTATATTAAGTGTATTGTAAAGTGTTACCTATCTTTACAATATTACTTTGTATACAATTTTCAAATAGCTATGTCAGCAGTTCATAATTGTAATTTTATTCTTAAGGGTAATGATTACCTTGGACAATCCCAGTAATTGTTATGTATTGGTATTATACCATCAAATTATTCAGTGGGATGAAACTGTTATTAACATAAATAAACGAAATAAATGAAAAAAAGATACAAAGACTATACATGTAAAGATAAATATTACAATTATAATTATTTTTCTATAAAAATCATAAACAACTATCATTGAATCATTAGCACTAGTGTTGTAATTAGTTAATGTATTTTTATATTATTGACATCATGAATTTAATTAAATATTTAATATCTATTTTAATGGGGCATTCTCTCTATTCAACACTGAATATTTTAATTAATAGGAAAACTGGCACTGTGATTGACACATGAAAATGTCAAGAAAACATTGTTTTTATATTGTTATGCTATGACAAAACTGCCTTTGTATTCCATAAGGGTTCATACATACTTTAATAAGGGTTGATATAATGTCAGAATTGTGCAGAATAGAAGGAGGTGGTCCCTGCCTATCCCGTCGGGAAAAAGGCGTGACAAAGTAGATAGATAGATATAATTATATTCAGGGCTAAATAATATTAATGTCTCAATAATATTCTGGAAAGAGATAATGGAAATACCTCTTTTTATCAACCTAAATATTTTACTTTATATAAATTTGTACTGTAAATTTATTTTTACACTCTCTTTATTATTACTTAACATGGAAACAGAAAATAACATAGTATAAATTAAATAAAAGCGAATTAAGCAGGTGTTTTACTTCCCTTTAAATTTGGCACGCGGGGTAAGGGGGACGCGCAAACGGGTGCTGATATTTCCCATCTTGCTCAAACTCAGAGCTTTTGTTTATATGCCGTTTCACTCGCACGCGAGGATTGTCGTTTTGTTCTCGTCTATCCGACCCACCGCCGTGACCGACGGCGATGGGTGAGCGATAGCTAGCTCGGTTCATTCGCGCGACGCGTTCGCCCGGGAGGTGAGCGTATTGTTGCCGAATGACGAACGGTCAAGCACGAAAAGTTTGACAACTTTTTTTATCACGGGCCCTTACTCCTAAAGGACTTCGTGTCGACTCCGAAGTAACGTTAGTGCGGTGCGTTCAATGTGAAGACTGTATTTGTGAAGTGTGTCCACGGTATTCTTAATTTTTAACGCAATTTACCGTTTCAATTGAACGTTACTCGATTCGTTCAATAAAAACGCATAAGCAGAAGTAACGCTCATCGCGAGAGGGCCGTATATGGTCGACTCTTGGTGCTGGCGTCAGCCGGTGAAAGTAGACCTTTGTTAAGTTCATAAGGACACGAACCGCTTGCAACTAGCTCGAAACGAGTCGTTTCGCCTGCAATTTGCGAGAGGAGAGGTGAGTGGCGTTTCGATTGTATTACCTACTTAGTTACTCTTCAAATACAGTTATCTTCACCAGATTTTATATGTTGCACATCTTATAATTTCTTTTACTTTAATTTATTTGAGTTACCGTTGTGCGGAGGCTGTTGCCGTATACATATTTTATGTAAATATTGACATGCGTGACGAGACAACATTATTTAGCGGACATGTTAACTAAATGAAAAGATGAAAGATTACAAATTGTGATTTAGTCACATCACGTTTTCTTTATTAAGGCGTAAGGCTTTAATTAGCCGTCTATCTACATAGGCAGGTATTACCTACGGATCGGACGGACACGGAGTCGGTAGCCTCATGGGGTTTGCATCATCGGTAATGATATGTTCAATAAAGTTGGTAATTTCAAATTAAAATTATTTATTTTAATACAGGCACAGGAAACATATAATTAACAGTAAAAAAGGACGATACATAGTTGTGTGTGTCATGACTGCACTAAAAAATTTTGAAATTCGATATTAGGCAATCGATTAATCTAATTAGCCCTGATGTTTCTAATCGATTGGATCGATATTCATTAACACTTCTGGTCGTTTGCTATCCGATTCATGTCATTCATGTTGCAGCCGCGTAGGTCAGTGCCCCGAGCCTACCTGTTGGTTCAACGCGATGCCCGTCAAGCCGGTTCCCCTACGCCAACTTGCTGAAAAAAATGTGTTACTTAGGTCCCCTAACTTGGCTATCGAGTGTATGTTTTAATAACGTCCACTATTAACATTTGATTGCGTAGGGTCGATGCGCCTGTTTTCGAATCGCCCATTTTCGACTACTTATAATGTTATCATACTGAGTCCCCAAAACTCAAACTTATGACAACTTGGTTACACTAATTAGTCTCATATACAATTTATGATTATACGAAGCTATAAGCGAAAAACAAGTCACAATACACGCAATATTTTGAAAGTGTGTTTCTAGTTATCTCAGGTCATTTTGGTGTAATTATTGTTTGTGCAGATATTTTATGATTTTAATGTACATTTCATTAACAAACTATTAAAACCAGATGGTTGAAAATAGGAGATTATATTAAAAAAAAAAAAAATAGTTTCCACTAGGTGGTTTAAAAGTAGAAAGGTACGTCACATTAAGAACTCTTTGTCTAAAAATGTATGAAACTTCTTTTAAGTCTAATTTGATAATGTGAGTTCTAATGACAATTATTAATGAATGGCCAGTTTTTGTTTAATAAATGTATATATATATATATCGACAGTGGAAAGCAAACACGTAGTAAACCGCAAAACCATACTTGTTCTTCAGAGCGGAAAAACTTTTATTTTTCTCGATAAATTATCTCTATAAATGTCCATGGTAACAAATAAAGTGTTCCTTAGTCAATTTATACCAAAACAAGATATTTTTTTTTGGAAAATATAAAGATTGTCCTCTTTAAAAATCCATTTTGGTTTTGCGGGTTACTACGTGTTTGCTTTACAGCGTCGATATATATATAATAAAGTGATTATGATATACAGTTATGCTGGAAATTTTATGTAGAGTATTGTCTTCCCAGTCTACGACCTTTTTCTCATTTTGCTGAAACTAAAAGTTCTACAAAACTTAAAGAGTTCAATGAATTGAATAAAAAGAGAAATAATCACGTAAATCTTAATGGCTTCATTGAAAAAGAAAACAATAGTAATATGATCATCGTGTAATAATTAAATACAAAAGCTACTTTTCATACTAGTGATAGGTTCGATGTGATTATATTAAATTATGATATAATTTTATATTAATAAAACAGCGATTGACGATAATTTTCCTTATTTTTGATAAGTAATTTTTAAGTGGTTACTTTCTAGAGAGCTTTATTAAAAAAGAATCAATAAACTACTAATTTCTTACTATTAACAGTTTATTTGTTTATTATTAAGCTAAGCGAACTGATAAGAAAAACTGGAACTACTTATTTATTATTTACGGTTTATTGTTTTTTATTTGCTAAGCGAAGATATTTAATCTATATATAAATGATTTATCCTACATGACTGACAAATGGATAAATACACAAACCGCTGATCGTAGAAACCTGAAATTTGGAGGGTACGTTCTTTGTATGACGTAGGCATCTGATAGGAAAGGGTTTTTAGAAATTGTACTCCTAAGAGGATAAAAGGTTTGTATCTCATATCCTGATTTCTTTAGTCCAAACTACTTTCAATTTTATATAAACATTTTTTAATAGAATTGATGGAAGATTTGTTTCGTATTTAATGTAACTCATGTGGTTAAAAAAAGGTAAAAATTAATCGACTGGTAGACAAAAACTAGATTCTTTGATTGAGAAACGGTCATAGCAGAAATTTATTGTTAGGATTTTTACTATAAAAAACTCTTAGTCTGACTATTAAAAATTATAAATGATCAAAAATTATTGTCGGTGCTCTTATACATATATTTATGCTGAAAGTTGTCAATTCTGCTATGTGTAAATAGGCTTTTCTACCCTACCGAAGCCGCCAAAACTTAAACATATGGCAACCTAGATAGACTGATCAAACAACCAAAAACCTGGAGGTTGGAGTGGGTAGCGTTATACTGGAGCAAAAAATAGTGCCAAAATGCCAATACTTTGACAGTATGTGTCAAATTATTCTTAAGTAAGTTTGGTTTATTTTATTGTTTATTACTAAACTATTAAAGGCTCATTTAATTATTTGAGCTATAGTGGCAGTTATTAATCTATGGCCAGTTATCGTCCAAATAAAAAAAAAAAACAAACTCATTATGTACGGGTATGCTGGTCGATTGTTTTTTTTTTATTTAAGTATTTTTTATAACATTATACAAAACTAATTGGATACTTTATTGGATTATTAGTACTTTACAAAATTATCTTCACCAACAATTTAAGTTTATAAGAATAATTTTATAATAAAATAAACTACAACAATAATACCTCATAACAGCAATATGTTCATTGTGTAATAATGAAGAATAGTGAAGACCAGTACTAAAATACACAAGTTTTTAAGTGATAAATTTATATGATTATATTCAATTTTGAGATCAGTTAAGTACTTACTGAACTCAAAATTTTATTTTTTTTGATTTTTAGTTAAGATTATTATTACGCGTTCAATTATTTATGAAAACAGATAGGCTATAAATTCAATTAATTATTCATAAAAAGATTCTTTATATGATCACTTTCTAGAGTCTTATTAAAGCAAAAAAACAAAGAAACACCTTATTTATTTCTAACTATTAACGGTTTATTGTTTTTTATTTGCTAAGCGAACTGAAAAATGAATAAAAGAATCGATAAACTACCTATTTATTTCTTACTATCAATAGTCTATTGATTTTTTTATTTGCTAAGCGAACTGATTTTACCTATCTATTCATATTAAATGACTTATTCATATTAAATGAATCTATTCATATTAAATGAGTCTTGAATAACTGACAGACGAATCAAAGCTTTTCCTAAACTGCTAATTGTAGAGACTTGTAATTATAGAAGGAGTATTCTTTGTATGACGTAAGAGGCAACCGATAAGAAAGGATATTCCAAAATTCTATGCCTAAAAAAGGACAACGTTTGTATTAAACAACGTCATTCTACTTTGAATCTTACATAAACATTCTATAAGGAAATTGATCCAAATCCACTAATTGTATAAAAAAAGGTCTATATACTTATATCTACATACCGGTTACCTTTTAGGTTGCAAACTATCTTAGTTGTCAATTTTCGGGCAAAGCGGGATTTCGAAAGCTTTTGAAAGTCTAAAGCAGAAAATGACGAATCAGTCCTTTTCTTATTTCAAATTAGCTATGGTTATTTATTTATCTATTATGCAAATAACAAACGTCTGTAGTTTCGTGTTTTGTGCTTCCAACTTATTAAGGCGATATGGGATCCAAGTTGTTGTAAAACGTAAAGTAAACCTAATCAAATGATAAATAGACAAAGGCAAATAAGTGTACCAGCAGTGCCATTTTGTTGTAAAAAAAATGGCTCGAACTCGACGTCGAACGTTGTAATAGCATAGAGCTTCTATCAAGTAAACCTGTATCAAAAGGCAATCACAGATTCAATTACGGCGCTGCGCTCAACGTCGAGTTTAAAGCTTCTTTTAACATAAGCACAGCTAATAAATATAATGGTGTGTTCAACCAGAGGCTAACTAAACATTGCGGTCCTTAACAGTAGACAAATAAAGGAAAGACACGTTTAAGTTAAGATTATCTAAAATATAAAAAGTAAATCAATAGAAAAGATTGCTTTCAGCAATATATTAGATCTATGAGTTTAACCATAGCTTAACAGTATTCATTTAACTTTATGGTATAATGGTGTCAATTCTATTTTATTAGCACTCTCTTAATGATTATTTTTTATTTAATTTGGTTCTTTAAAATTATTCCGTAGCCACATCGAATCCATAAATGTATTATACTTCTCTTAAACTGTGTTATATGTAGTAAGTAAACTTCTGTTGTCCTCGTTTTTACTAAAATTATAAAAGTTTAGTTTGTGCAACAGGATTGCTACTTATAATCGTTCGTAGTTATAATGTGTTCCGTAAAATTCGTTAATTGTAGCATAGACATTCTTTTGTTTCAAACACGGTGAATTAAAAAAAAAGAACTATTTTAGTGGTGCAATGAAAAGGCAGGATGCGGGATGTCGCTATGGTTGTTTAGTTTTTTTTTTGTAATCTGAGAGTCTCGTTGTGTGTGACTGCAGGCCGATTCTGCTAACGATTATTAGATAGAATCTTAACTGCTTGCATTTTGTCGTTGTTCAATCTACATGAAATACAATATTATAATATACAATTATATCTATCACCATTGACGCGTGAAGAAGACATTGCATTAATAATATAGGACTTTAGATAGATTGTGCAATGGTAAAATGGAATAGTTGAGATTCTTTTAAGGATTTTTTTTTTGAGTTGAAGATTTTATTATATTAAATAAAAAGATTTATGT